CCACGATAAAATCATCGTGGGTAGTAACGATCAAATGATCAATTCTACCAGGAACATGTTAAATTTGAGATTTGACATGAGAGGTGTGAGTTTGTCATATTTAATCTTCGAGATTAAAATCGTGAGAAGACCGTATGGTCTCGTGGTAAGCCAATCTCATTAAGACCGTATGGTCTCGTGGTAAGCCAATCTCATTGTGTTGATTGAGTCCTTGTAAAGGATGATAATCAAGTAGCTTGAACACCGTTAGATACTAACGTATAACTAGCCGATAATCACGGAGATTGTACTTCTCACGGAGAATACATTCAGATTATTGATAGTTCAATTGTATCTAATGGGTTGTACTAGGCCAGATATTGCCTTTGCGGTTAACGAACTTGGTAGACATCCGAGTAACCCTAGTGATGCGCACTAGAAGGCAATAGTGAGAGTTATGAGATACTTAAGGTATGCTCGTGACTTTGGACTGCACTACGTAGGATATCTAGCTGTACTTGGATAGTATAGCACGGATATCAAAGGACGCTAAGTCCATCAAAGTCTACGTCTTTACACTCGTGTCGCGAGCGAGTAGGCCGAATGACTATGTCATTATTTCGAGAATGTTCCTAGTGGTAAACTCGTACCTCCAATTTGTGTGCATTGCCATAGTCAAGCCAAAATTGGTTAAGTACAGAGTTAGATGTGGAATGGTAAGTCTAGACTTATAAGTCGTAGACATAATACCATTAAACAATTTCTCACAACGGGGTTATTTCTATTGACTACGTGATGTCAAAAGATAACGTAGCGGCCGCTAACTCGCTAACCCGAGGGTAAGCAAATTGTTGTTGAGAAGTTGGAACGAGGAATGGGTCTAAAGCCCTTGGACTAAAAGTTCTATAGTGGATACCCAACCTAGCTGGCACCTAGGTTTAATGGGACAACTAAATTATGGCACGGAGCGTGTCACTGTGGGGGTCTCGGACTCCCTACCACTCCTCGTTAGAATAGTGACTCCCACACGAGGTTAGTACGTTGATGCTTTAATGATTCGAATTTCGGTTGACATGTGTGAGTATGCGGGATACTCGGAAAAGAATCACCTATGTGAGAGAGAAGTGAGGGTCGCTTCAAAGGAGAATTGATGGGCACAATTCTTCACAAACTCTTGCAGAACCAGGACGGTGACCCATGACCAAAATGGGCACACTCATGAGAACAGAGCATGGTTGGGAGGTTCATGTGTGAGATATGTCATCGTCTACACAAACGGCAGTCAGTTCAAAGACATCGCGTTCTACCGTACAACCAGTAGAGTAAACATGTCTTCACAAGGGAAGGTTCAAAGGGTATAGTGATCCCTACCTATCCTATGCAGGAATCGACCGTTGAACACAGTTTGTTTCCGATTTTAAAATACCCTGAAAATCAATTTTTCATTCATGTGGGAGATTGTTGGAAAAATAGCATTAAAATGGCATAAAATGACATATTAAGTGGCTATTTTGTGGTACAATTATTAGTGAGGTCCACTTCCGATTTGGGTCGGGTCAAAGTGAATTCGGGTTCTTCGTAGTGAGGCGAAGAGATTGATATATTGTATGCTCAAAACGGATAATGGGTGAATGAGATATTGATTTTGAAAGTAGACCCATTGAATTGGAAAAATGAAGGGAAAAGTGAGCTTTGTCCCATATTGGTTTAGAAAGAGGATTTGACGATATTAATAATTTGGCGATCATTAATAATTAAAACCTGAACAATATGAACCATTCATTTGATTTAATAATTTGGCGATCATTTTTTCTACCCAATGTTAATAATTGAATAAATTCGCTGGTCAAATCCGCTAGTATAATCCGCTAACGCTAACCGCTGATTGTCAAACAAAGACATTGCGAGGTAGTTCTCACTTCAATTTGTTGTGTGATTTGAATACTCTCTTTGTCACAAAATCTCTCAAGTAGTTAATATGGTTGGCTTTATTAATTATATATTTTTTTAATTTTTTCGTGATATTAATAAAATACTTGGTAAATAAATATATAGCATTATTTTGTATTATAACTTTGATATTTAATTAGAAAAATAGTGCACAAAAAAGATAATAGATAATGTAGTGAATATAATCTATTGATGAATTTGAATGTAAAAATTTTTACATTTGAGAAAAATAAAGACAATATAACTAATGAAAATATTTCTTTTAATTAATTTATTGATAATTAATAATTTTTTTTCACTGAATAAAGACATTGTAAGGACAATGTAGCGAATATAATCAATTAATAAATTTGAATATAAAGAATTTTTATATTGAAGAAAAATAAAGACAATATAACTAATAAAATTATTTCTCTTATTTAATTTATTGATAATGAATATTTTTTTTTTTAATAAAGGCATTGTGGACACATAATTCTAAATTAAAGAAATGCATATGTATTATTTTTTGTTGTAACTACTAAATTATTATTTATATATAATTTAATAAGAGTAAAATAGAGTACTAATTATGCCAACTTTGATTGGGATGAGGTTCGAACCTAAGACTTTTTTTTTTTTTTTTTTTTATTGAAATCAATGAGTAAGTTAACGGTGAACTAACGGCAATTCTTAAAATTTTAACGGAATTAGTAACGGTGTGTGGGTATTTTAGGAAATTTTATTGTAAAATTTAAATCTGATCAATCTTTTAATCAATCTGAGCCATTCATTTGATTAAAATCTGTGACCGCCATTTTTTCTACCCATTATAGGCCTAACTCTCTTGGGCTCTTATTAGTATAGTATAGATAATTTAGTAGCTACAAAAAGAAAATACATATGCATTTCTTTAATTTAGAATTATGTGTGTACAATGTCTTTATTCAAAAAAAATTATTCATTATCAATAAATTAAATAAGAGAAATAATTTCATTTGTTATATTGTCTTTATTTTTTCTCAAATGTAAAAATTCTTTACATTCAAATTAATCAATTAATTATATTCACTACATTGTCTATTATCTTTTTTTGTGCACTATTTTTAATTAAATATCAAAGTTATAATACAAAATAATGCTACATATTTATTACCAAGTATTTTATTAATAGCATGAAAAAAAAAACATAATTAATAAAGTCAGTCATATTAACTATTTGAGGGATTTGTTGACAAAGAGAATATTCAAATCAAACAACAAATTGAAGCGAGAACTACATCGCAATGTCCTTGTTTGATAATCGGCAGTTAGCAGTTAGCGTTAACGGATTTGACCAGCGAATTATATCAACGGTTGGAAAAAAGATATTTGAAAAAAATTAGCCGTTTAGCTTAACATGTAAAATGACCTAAGGTATAATAATAATAATAATAATAATAATAATAATAATAATAATAATAATAATAATAATAATAATAATAATTGATTAAAAAAATAAAAAATATAATTAAGCCAATCATATTAATTACTTGGGGATTTATTGACAAAAAGAATATTCAAATCACACAACAAATTAAAGTGGGAAACTATCTCGCAATGTTCTTGTTTGGCAATCCGCAATTAGCTCTTCAATATTAGTATATATTTAATATTTTATGGCCTAATTTTTATTTGCTCTCCCTTATGTCCTGTATTTGGTTTCAACCATACCTATATAATTATTTTATTGACAATTATAATCAATCTTGACTATATTAATTTGCATTTGTAAACTTAGAATTGCCTATTTAAATACGCAAATTTAACATTCAATTATCTATGTATGAACAATTCCAATATAATCTTGCCTTGATATACTTTAAAGTACTTATTTAAAAAAATTAAAAAAAAATTGGGCATTAATCCAATCGCGTAATGCGCGTAAAAAATTAGTATATATATACATATATATTTGTGTGTATATATATATTTCGGATACATATATATCCAATAATATTTTATATACTTTCGTGTGTGTATATATAAATATTATTTTGAGATATTAAATCAATTTTGGTTCATTATCACCAACAAAAAGTTAACAATAAAATTTAGAAAATGTCAATATTCGAGAAATTAATTTTAAAACTAACTGTCTAACTCAATAAAATAATGAGCAAATACTAATTTTGATCCCACGAGTATTTGAAAAATGACGGTTTTGGTCCACATGTTTAATTTCTACAAATTTTCATCCACGACTATTGTTTTAGTACCAATTTTAATCCACGACTATTATTTTAGTACCAAAATTCTTCACGTCGGTCACCCATTTATTTAAGACATCCCGAAATCTAAAAATTTTAAGGACATTTTCGTCCTTTTCAACTTAAGATTCCAATTTGAGCATAAATAAATTAATTTAAGCCCTAAGATCGATCTCAATTTGCAATTCTCCTCCTCATCCTACCTTAATTTGAGGAAAAAAACTACGAATTAAAATAGATCTTAGGACTTAAATCCCTTTATTCATGCTCAATAGGGATCCTAATTTGAAAAGCACGAAACTCCCTTAATAATTTCATATTTCGGCATGTCTTAAAAAAATGGGTGACCGGCGTGATGAATTTTAGCACTAAAACAATGGTTATGGATGAAAATTGGTACTAAAACAATAATCATGGATGAAGATTAGTAGGAATTAAATATGTGGAACAAAACTGTCATTTTGTTAATACTCATGGGACCAAAATTTATATTTGCTCATAAAATAATTGTAGTATAAACATATCAATGTGTTTACGTTGGTTCGATCTTCACAACCACGTCATCAATATGCACTTCATTCAGTAATCTCAACCATCCATCTTACTCGAATCTACGTACCTGGAAAAATACGATAAAACATAATTATATGCCACGTCACTGATCCGCCCCACACAGATCATTGTTCCACCGTAGATCCAGATCTCATCAACGGACGAGAAGAACACAAGCAGCGCCACGCGGATCCGAAACAAAAAGCTCCAAATCCAAAACCGCCAAAATTCAAAATCGTCGTCTAATTAACCTAATTTCATCGTCCCGCCCACCCTTATAAAACCCTTCTCCGCCATTGTTTATCCACCACAGCGAACCCTAGAACTTTCAATCTCACACTCACAGTCGAATTCAATCACTTCTCCGCGTGAAAAAAAATGTCCGGCCGCGGAAAGGGAGGCAAGGGGCTGGGAAAGGGCGGAGCAAAGCGCCACCGTAAGGTGCTCAGGGACAACATCCAGGGCATCACCAAGCCCGCTATCCGTAGGCTGGCCAGAAGGGGCGGTGTGAAGAGAATCAGCGGCCTGATCTACGAAGAGACCAGAGGCGTTCTCAAGATCTTCCTCGAAAATGTTATCCGCGATGCGGTGACGTACACGGAGCACGCTAGGAGGAAGACTGTGACCGCCATGGATGTGGTCTATGCTCTCAAGAGACAAGGAAGGACCCTCTATGGCTTCGGCGGTTGAGCTCTGTCCTGGTTTAGCTCTATGTATTGGTATTGACTATTAAAGTATTAAGCTTCGATGTGATTCTCACTGTGTATCTATGGTTTAATCTTAATGGAAATAGTGATTGAATCTTTTTTGATTAGATTTACATCTCAGTATAAACTTTGCTATTTTTATGCTTATAAGCTGTTTGATTTATTGTCTCACTGTGCACCTTTGGTTTCATCTGAACGGAAATGGTGATTGAATCCTCGTCGGTTCTCAGTACAGACTTTGCTATTTTTATGCTTATAAGCTGTTTGATTTATTGTCTCAATGAACTATTAGTTTGTGCTTTTGTGAGGTTTTTAGCTTGATAGCCTAACTTTGAAAAGTCACAAAGTGTTTTATCATTTCAATATTGTTTGAAGAAGATTGAGACAAAATACAGCTAGAAAACTTGTTTGGGTTCAAGAATCAATCCATCATCTGCAAATGCTTCCAGTTCAAGCAGTTCATCCTCAATTACCAAATTGGCAATCACAGTATTCCCATCAGTCTTGCCCTCTGCAACCTGCTATGTCTCATCAGCAAAAAGTACGGTCTTTTCTATCATCTCTATGCACATGTTTGCAATTTTCTAGAGTTAACCCCATCATCCAATTTTTTGTGATTCCAGCATCCATTTATTATCTACTATATCTCACTCAATTTCAAAAGCTTCTCTTTCCAATAGTTTTAAAGTTTTTTGTTTTTTGTTTTTTTTTTTTTGTTTTTTTTTTTTCAATTTTTTATGAACCCACTAATATATACTCTAAATTATAATTATAATTAAATGGGAAAATGACACTTTTTACCCCTGAGTTATATACTTATAGCACTTTTTCCCCCTCAATTATTTAGGTAAGCACATTAGCCCTCTCAATTATTCTAAAAGTGGTGCTTTTTCCCCCTTGATATATTAAATTGACATTTATACCCTTAAAGTAAACATTTTATTTATTTTACTACTCCAACAAATTATTGCGTATACGTAGGGATGACCACGGTTCGATTTGAATTGAACTGGATACTAAAGCAATCGAATTAATAGTTTACGGTTATAATTCAGATCTAGAACCCAATATTTAAATGTCAATTTATTAAAATTATCTATCAAAAAAATTGAATCTTGAACCGTGAACCGGCGGTTCCGGATCTAATTCGCGATTTTGAACCGTCTTTATTTTAAAATTTTATTTTTTATTTTAAAATAGTCTAAATTCAACAATAAATGTATTTTATTTTTTCAGTTCGGAACATTAACCGTCCGTTCCGGTTCACGATTTTAATAAACTCTAAATATCGAATTTCGATTCTAAATTGTAATTGGAATATTTCTGTTTGGTTGCTATAATGTTTGTTTAGTTTGAACCAAATTATGGTCATAATTTGTTGGAGAAAAAAAAATAAATTAAATATTTAGTTTAAGGGTAAATATGTCCATTTAACATTTCAGGGGGAAAAACAACCACTTCAATAATTTAGGGGGAAAAAATGCTATAGGTATATAACTCAGGGGGAAAAAGTGCCATTTTCCCTAATTAAATTATCCAAAATTTAATTAAATTAATAGTTATAAAATTTTTAATTAAAAATATATTATTAAAATTATATACTATGGAGTACATATTATATTAAAAAAGTTATGTTAAATATTTAATTTTTTTGTAATAAGAAAAAAACTAAAACAAAAAGCAAGGTTGCAAAATAGTTAGGCATCGCCTAGGCGCCGAGGGGTGCTTAGGCACCGATTTTTCTATTTTTATTTATTTTATTTATTTTTTTAAATGTAAAAAAAAATTAAAAATTAAAAATTATCAAAATTCACTAATAAAACATAAGGTTCTTATTGTTTTTTTTTGTGGCTATAAAATTGTTTAAAATATTGTTGAAACCATCTAAATACATAACTTAAAGAGTAAATATCCAAAATGGTCCCTCGACTATAGCTAAATTCACAAATTGGTCCTCAACTTTCAATTTCACCCAATTAAGTCCTTAACTTTGCAATTTTGACACGATTTGGTCCTCCATCTAATTGACCGTTTGTTGACCGTGATCGACGATCTCCAGAAGAACCTTCAGCTCTCGCCGGAGCACGTGGAGGCCTCCAGGATGACGTTGCACCGGTTCGGAAACACGTCGTCTTCTTCGCTCTGGTACGAATTCAACTACATTGAATCCAAAGGGAGGATGAAGAAGGTGACCGGGTTTGGTAGATTGCTTTCGACAGTGGATTCAAATATAACAGTGCGGTCTGAAAATGCAACCGGAACCTTAAAAAACCGACGATGGACCATGAAATTACATATATATCCTCAAAAATCACAGTCAACAAACGGTCAATTAGATGGAGGACCAAATCGTGTCAAAATTGTAAAGTTAAGAACTTAATTGGGTGAAATTGAAAGTTGAGGACCAATTTGTGAATTTAGCTATAGTCGAGGGACCATTTTGGGTATTTACTCTAACTTAAATTAAGAGCAAAAGAAGCATTTTTTTTGAAAAAATAAAAAAATAAAAAAATAAATCGCCGATTCGGCCGACTAGGCGGTCTAGGTGGCTGCCTAGACTATCTAGCCGCCCGGCCACGGAGGAGGCCGATTCCGACTTTCCTCGCCGCGGCTGGGCGGCGCCTAGCGCCTAGACGCGATTTTTGCAACATTGACAAAAAGAAAGTTGCATACAAAAATTGTTCTATAAATAAAAAAATAAAAAATGAAAATGAAAAAATAAATAAAAAAAGTACAAAAGACTACATAAGCCTTTTGTCAAATGTGAGATTTAGCAAACTTGTTACAATAGCAAATTTGCTAAACATGTCATCATATAAAAAAATTATTTTATAATGTGTCACACCATCTAGCAAGAGGAAGATTAGTTGGCAAGAAGAAGATTGGCTGGGGACAAGGACATAATGGTGGCTATGTTGATATGTATCTATCAAACATAAATGCGTCCACCCTTGATAGCTTGTGGCTATTAGGCTGTCCTGTCCTTGTCCATGCAATACTCTTTCACTTTCAAAAATTCTAATCACCAAATTTACAATTCCTTTACTATTTTTCTACATTTTTATAATACTTTATTATTTTAAAAAATGGCCTCACTTTCACATCTTATCTTATATCTTATATCTTATTTTATCTTATCTTATACTCTATACATAATAGTAAAAACTTTTCTGACTTCACTTTCCCACAAAAAAAAAAAAAAAAAAACGATAACGTTTTGTAGTTCACATTTGCCGGTCACAACTTTTGATATTTGATGTTTGGGAATTGTTACTTTGCATTCATTGTATATGTATGACATAGATTAGTTCAGTGCATTAATTAATATTAATACAACCGCCATTCATATTAATTGGAGAATGCTCACAGCCGCATATTTAATTGCAAATATCAAGAATCTTCATTCTCAATTATACACTTATTACATCATTTTTGAACATAATAAGAATCATCTTAAAAATGGCTACGGAGGTTTGTCTCCTTACTCGTCGAGGATAAATTGCCATGTTGTTACTCACTTGGCATTCACAGGCGACATAGTTATTTTTGTCAATGGCTCGTTTGGTTCCCTAAAAGCTTTGTCGGAGGTTCTGCAGCTGTATCAGGACGGTTCAGAAAATTAATTATAGCAAGAGTTTCTTCGTCACCTCAAAACATTGCCCAAGCAGCAGGGTTGCGGCTATGTCCCGAATAATGGCAATGCAACGCACCACTTTACCATTCCGTTATCTGGGGGTTAACATGTTCACGGGCAGAAATAGAACACACTATTACCAGCATGTACTGGAGAAGATTGACAATAAATTACTCGGTTGGCAGAGAAAACTGCTATCCCAAGGAAGCAGATTAACGCTCATTAAACATGTTCTAACAATGATTCCAATGTATACAATGGCATCTGTGACACTGCCTAAGCAGGTTGTGAGATCTTTGGAGGCAAAGTTAGCCAATTTCTTCTGGACAGTTTCGAGGGGAAGCCCAAACGACACTGGGTGAAATGGAAGGGCGTTTGCCTACCCACAAATGAGGGCGGTTTGGGGGTTCGCTGTCTTTCGTCGATTCAAGAGTCTGGCTCGGCAAAGCTCTACTTCAACTTTTTAAAGGGAGGTACTCTGTGGAGCTCATTCATGCATGCTAAATACCATGAAGTTGCAACGGACTGGACGGGCTCTCTCACATGGAGGAGAATGCGGTTTGTCAAAGATTTCGTTGAAGACAATGTGTCCACCGCATCAGGAGATTTAGTGTGGACTCCTCAGTGTATGGTAATTTCAACTTTTCTTCTGCCTATGAATCCCTAAGGTCGAAGGCAGGACACAACCTTTCATCAACAAGTGTGTGGAACAATTTAATCCCAACAAAGGTATCCGTGTTCATGTGGAGGCTGTTAAGGAGATAGCTGCCGTTCCAGATGTTTTACAGCCCTTTGGGTTCTGTCTGCCCTCGATCTGCCCACTGTGTCGGAATGCAAGTGCGACCTTCGACCATTGCCTCCATCAATGCTGCTGCGCACAGGAGGTTTGGCAACATTTTAATGGGGTTTTTGGCTTGAGACTGCACATGGATATCTTGGCTAGAGCGGTCTGCCAAGCTTGGTGGATTCTGGCCTCTCCCTCGCAGAGTGGTTATACATCATTAATCACTTGCTTGGTGGTCTGGTTCTTATGGGTTGGTTATAATGACAGCCTTCATAATGGGGTTGCCTTCTTTACCCAAAGAATCATAAAAAAGATAATGTATGAGTCGATTCTAATCTCTCTAGCCCAACCACCATGCTACAAGGGGACAGATGGGGCTCTTCTTCTTGCAGAGAGTCTCATCGCACGTTTGGATCCTTCGCCGAGGCGCTCGACGATTTGGATAAAATGGCAGAAGCCACCATCGGGTAGATTAAAGCTGAACACGAACGCCTTCTTTTCATCATCTGGAGCAGCGGGTGGAGCTTGCCTAAGGGACTCGCAAGGTGAGCTGGTTGTTGGATTGTGCTACCGTCTTGATGCGTCGTCAGCACTGGAGGCAGAGGCGCTTGCTTTGCAATGGGCAATTCGATGGTGTGATTCGGCAATCAAGTGGCCTCATATGGTGGAGGTGGACTCCCTCGTGCTTGTCTGGTTGATAACATATCCTACAGTGGCGATCCCAAGGAGGGTTAAGGAATCTGTTCTCTACAT